TACCTCAGTGCTTCGATGCTTCAATATCGATTCACGTCGAGGTATCGATCGTGGGTTCGAGACCCATGAACGCAGACTTTTTCTGATGGCATAAGAAAGTGTTTGGGATCACACGTTAAAAGGTAAGGCCCCCGTCATTCCTTGCTCGCACAAGTCTTTCGAAGACTTCTGAGGGTTGCTCGTAAGGGGGCAATCAAATGACGGATAGAACAAATTATAGAACAAATAGAAATGTAGCAAAATTTTCCAGCTTTAAGACATCGGTTATTGGCTGATATTCATTTCAGCAGTATTTCCATAAAGAAGTGTATTCTGGAACCAAAATTCCTTTCGCATTCAACTCCAAAACCAAACACATCAAAAATAATATAAGACACCTGAGATTTGCACCACTATTTGAACAAATGCCAAATAGAAAACACTAGGGGGAACATCCAGAAAGGTTTTCTCATTCTACAATGTACGACCATCAGCCAAAATCTCCTGGAATCATTATTTACCGTCATCTAATACAAATACAGAAATAAGAATCCATACTAAACTATGGTAACGTAAACTTTCAGAAGTAAACATATCCACCATATGAGCTAAAATGTTATCACTCTATTCTCTCAACCATCATTCCATCATCACTAACCCTCAGGAATTCCACTGTGGGTTCACTGATTTCTCATTTTTTGATCAACCTCTGAGAGGTTGACAATGAAATCGCCTCATAACCCACCCTAATATACACGGTGAGTCATGACTAACCAGTCATATAATGACAGATATAGAGGAAGTTAAGGTGAGTTGGTATATACATATATAAAGATATATATTTTGTCTATCCGTAACGTCTCGATGTTTTCGCCTGAAATTCCCCAGCACCTCACCTCTACTGACACTCCATGAGATGGCCTACTATGGAAAAAAAATCCGGAACAGGACTTTGGAAATTCATTTCTTTTATGAGTGTCATGATTATGTCTTTCTGGATCGTATTTTTCGAAAACTCTCATCAGATTTGGCACACTTCGATCGCTTTGGCAAAAATATTTCAAACAAAATACTGATGAAAGTTTCTTCGATTTCGTCTGGGCAGATTACTCTCTACATCCGACTTTAGGTATTGAAATAAATTTTTGCGTTTTTTTACGTTCTGGTTCCCACGAAAGGGGATATCCTGTAATGTTCAGAGAACATCGTGAGAACCAAGGAAAATAAGGTAGGAACTCATTTCTTCTTAAATGTCTGGAGGTTATATGCCTTGGGAAACACCTCTCTTGGCAATGTGTTCCAGGGCCTACGATGTTCGTTGGATGAACGAGTCTTTGGAAAGAGATGTTCTGCAGGTCTCCAAAGTGACCACGAAAGGGTGCCAAGCCTCAACTCGACGGGTTGATCTCGCGGGGACTGCCAAGCGAGGAACAGTTGTTGATATTTCAAGGGCATCGTCCATGAAAATATCTATAAAAGGGAGCCAGATCGCCAACTTGTCTACAGTGTTCCAGATATGGCAGTAAAGTTGAGAATATGTTTTTCTCAAAGAAAATATTCAGGAGCGGATTTGATTTTTGGAAAAACCTACAAAACAACTATGAGTTTCGAAAAATATTTATCTGTATCTCAGTATTCTTCAAAGATGATTCTGAATATGTCCTCCAATTTCTTTACTTCTTCTGCATTTCTTCAAGAGATCTCTCATGGTTTTACGAATGATTCTCCCGAGGATTTTCCTATTATTCCTGATCATATCTGAATCTGTAACTACAATCTCTCTCAGTTCCTCTCTGATGGTGTTGACTTCAGTCAGAAATACCAATAGTTTTATATGTCACCTAGGAGGCCAAGAAAGAGGGATGCCACGACCTAACCAGCGATTAGAGAATTGGGTGTCTATAGGTATTCTCTCACTTGTATTAAGAAATGTGGAGGTGCCCCATCCTGTTAAGAAAAAATACATCTTTCAATTCATTTTCTTACATTCATCACAGCCTTTTTGTTTACTGCTTTCTGAATCGTGAAAACACCAAACTCACAATTTAATTCGCTGAATGAGAGAGTTCACATGCAATGATATCATATTCAATAGTTCTTCAAGAGTCCCTCTATGTAGTAGTTGGCACGTATATCTGATTTTGATTCAAATCTTCTACATAGGCAATAATTCTTCATAACCACCATGTTTCCACATTTTCACATCTAGAAGCAGATTTCAATCAGAAATCATTTATGTTCGTATTTGAAAGGTCTCTTTCAGAAGAGCAAGTCCGGTCCTGGATTTTTCTATAGAATAGAGCCACTTCCCAACTCTTATCATACACCGATATGCAAGAAATTAATTAAAATGGACTTGTTTAACGATGTGACTACAATATGCCCGTACGAATTCATGGAAACGTTAATCGGTATTTTGTTTCATATTTTTAAACAATTTGGTCGAAGTGTGCCCTACAAAATGCAAAGCTACACTTGTAGTATTTCTCTCTTCCTGATTCTGATGAGGGTTTTCGAAAAATACGATCCAGAAAGTCGAAATTATGACATTTAAAAAAATGAATTTCATGGGTCCGGCTCTGGAATGTGTATTTCATATTAGGAGTGTCAGAAGAGGTGAGTTGCTGGTGAATTTCAGGCGATAACATCGAGACGTTCCTGAAATATTGTTCATCAAAGTTCGCCCCGAATTCAAATAATACCCTGTATTTTGGTTACGAATATGCAAAATATATTTTTTCACATATTTATCAACTCTCCTTGACTTCCTCTATTCGATTAGGCTATGGCTGGTTAGTCATGACTCGCCCTGTATAATTAACGTATGATCTTCTCTTTATATGAAAGATGGAAGTATACAGGGTGTTTCATGAGAAGACTCACATAGCCAAATGGTTAATAGGGGAACTCAGGACGAGTTGATGTATATGAAGACATTTTTTGACCCTCCATAACGAAGATACAGGGTATTATGTGAAATTGTTAAATAACTTTGATGGCCGATATTACAGAAATGATTCATCGTAATCTGCTGAAATTCGGCAGCGACGTATCTCTACTGAAACAATTCAAGATAACATATTATGAAAAAAATATCCAGGTCCGGACTTGGGGAAATTTCATGTTTCATTGCTATGTCAAAAAAGTTGACTTTGTGACCACTTCTCTCACAAAATTCCATCAGATTCAGAAAGATCAGACAAAATGCTATATGAACTGCTCTTCACTTTACACGGCACACTTTGACCGGTTCAATAAAAAATATGAAACAAAATCGTTCAAATGAATTTTAAATTTTGACCTGGCTGATACCTGTCAACTTCCAACTGGTATCATGTGAATTGATTTTTCCTACATTTTTGTTGAATAGTATTTGACAGAAGAATAGATCAGAAGTAAAAACACGATATTTTTTTATCGAAATTCCAGATAGATATTATCATTCCTGACTTAGTTTTATGGGTTTCAATCGAAGTAATGATAAGATATCTAGTAGGCCCTTCATTTGTGTGACGAGACGTGACGTTTGTTGATAATCCGAACTGATAGGTAGGTACTAGGCTAGTACTAGGTAGGTACCAACTGATGAAATTACGACATGAGGATTCATGTGCCCATATTATGGTGATTTATCAAATTAGTTATGCCATCACGCATAAACTCAGCTCCATTTTTTGTTATTAATACATTTCTGCAAGTGAAAGAAGGATGCATTCACTATTAATTCAAAATACCTAATGTTCATACTTGTGAAGGTTTTACTGCAACGTATTTTTGGGTCTGGAAATATTCTATGATATTAAACATAGCACAGCATTTGGATTTTCGTCTTGTTCAGCATTTGAAATATGAAGTGGCACCTAGGTGCAAGAATATTTAATTACCAATGTTTACCTATATCAACAAACGCCACGTTACATAAAATAAAAACAGGGCCTACTTTATAACGAATTCATAATATAGAGTCACAAGTAATCATATCCATCTAGAAGTTCGGTCAAAAACTAATATGTCAAATCATAAACAAAATCATCACTCCTCTCTTCTGTCAATTTCTATCCAATAAAATGTACAAAAGAATCAATTTACACGAATCCAGTTGAAAGATAAAAGTTATCAGCCAGGTCAAAATTGAAAATTTATTCGAGCGTTTTTGTTCCATACTTTTTTATTGAACCGGTCAAAGTGTGCCATGTAAATTGAAGAGCAGTTCTTATAGCATCTTGTCTGATCTTCCTGAATTTGATGGAATTTTTCGAGAAAAGTGGTCACAAAGTGAACTTTTTCGACATAACAATGAAACATGAAATTTTCCCAAGTCCGGACCTAAATTCTTATTTCATAATATGTTATCTTGAATTGTTTCAGTAGAGATACGTCGCTGCCAAATTTCAGCAGATTACGATGAATCATATCTGTAATATCGGCCATCGAAGTTATATAACAATTTCACATAATACCCTGTATCTTCGTTATGGAGGGTCAAAAAATGTTTTCATATATAAACATCAACTCGTCTTGATTTCCCTTTTTAACCATGTGAGTCTTCTCATGAAACACCCTGTATATGCCTGAATTGGCCTGAATTGAACAATACTCACATAATAATCATAATACAAGTTATATACCAATGAGATTTTTTACTTCTTCCCGAGCTTCTTCCATTCCATATATTGCTCACTCTTCATCCTACAACCTATTGGCCATTACATTATTCGAGAAACCAATCAGTGTCATGACCAATGTTGAATTCTTCATCGCGAATGTTCATTAGCCATGAATTTAAATTGATACATAACAAGCACAACTCAAATACCCGATATTTACTTAATCAATACAAAATTGCGCAATATTTATTTTCTCTCCAACGCCGGCTGTTTGTTGCACGTATTTAATCTTCACCGGTTCATGTGTATCTTCCTATTCAGCCATAAGAAAACAATTTTGTCTGCACCAATATCTCCTTCAAAATCAACCTCAACACCAAACCAACAAACTAAACAACCAATAAAAAACCCTGCCTGTATAGTCCCGTCCGGTCCGATCTCCCTCAACCGCCGTGGCGAAGAAATCTGCCTCAAAGTCACGTGCTCCAGCTGGCCGTGCTCCAAATGCCGCTTACGTTCCTCCTCCAGCCGCTTCTCCAGGTCCTGCACGTCCATCCCTGAGGCCGCAAAGTCTTCGGCCTGAGCCGGTGCCCCTTTCCACACCTTCTCGAAGAAGCTGACTCTGTCCCTGAGCTTCCGGCTGGCCGGGCTCTGGGGGCTGTCGGGGGGGCTCTGGGGGCCCTCCCCCGGGTCCTTGGGGGGTGCACTCATAATGTCATCGCGTATATGTCATCGCTCGTCGTGGGTAGTGTAATGCGCGGCGCGAAACGCGCGGTTCGATACTGAATGTCGGCGAAGTGGTTGCCTAGTTGGGCGATATCGAGATGGCCATGGAGGGATCTCGATCGACTTGCGACGACGTAATGTGAAAGTCGGGGTCGCGATGCGCTTTTGCTAGGTATGCTGGTCCGCACAAGAGATGGGCCGCAGCTAGGTACTTTTTTTTTCATTTTTGTGACGAAAATGTCAGGTAGCAATCATCATTCACAAGACTATAGTTGTAGCCTCATGGCCCGTTATATTCCTCCAAAGACGAAAATCTCAATGATTTGCTGGTAATCTTCTGGGTCCATTTTCGCATGTCTATGATTGATGATTTTCTATGATTTTGCAGAGTGTGCATTCAGGACCTGTCATATATCTCACTCACTTTAACTTGGAAGTTCCTGCGTATTGAGCAGAAGCGTTTTCAGGCAAAAAAATTGGATAAGATTTTCTGGTTACTGGGATATCACAAATGGCGCTCTGGATTGATAGTAGTTATGTCAGTGGTCATTGTCCGTACAGAAGGTCCCAGAATACTATACTCCGGCAGGTGGTCCTGTAAGACAATGTCATAGATTCCTGATCCTCATTCGTTTTTTGTCAATGCTCCATCTTCCCATGTAGTTGTCCTGGTCTATAACTTCTTCTTGTCGTTTTACTGATCCGAGGAAATCTGAACTCCGAGGTCTTAAGAGCCTTCGTTGCCTGCCATTGGCAACCTGTTTTCAATGCTTGATGATGCGTCCATATGAATGAATTTGGAGTAACTGACGTAATTTGAATATATCTAATGTTGATGAATAACGGAAGAATGTCGATTGATATACTTGCTTTTTTCTTAGTTTTCAACCTCTTCTCACATGTACATATTTTTTTCGTATACTGTGTACACGACCGCCGCGGCGGTTGGATACTGATTCATAAACGACCGCCGCGGCGGTTGGATACTGATTCATAAACGACCGCCGCGGCGGTTGGATACTGATACATAAACAACCGCCGCGACGATATTTCTTCCTTCTTCATAGAGAGTACTTCCGAGCAAAGCGATAGCTCAGTTGATAGTGTACTGACCACCACGGCACTAATAATTTTTCGAAAAATATACTTCTCAGGAGAAAGCTTTATTTAGGCGAGCTAGGTTAGTTTGTTTGAAAATGTAGTCTCTTTTTTCATGCAGAAACGATATTTTCCTTCCTCATGTTTCACGGCGGTCTTAGAAATAGGAATAGGTAACCGCCAGCGGTTGTTTATGTATCAGTATCCAACCGCCGCGGCAGATTTCACGGTGGTCTTCTATATAAAAATAGGTAACCGCCGCGGCGGTTGTTTATGTTTCAGTATATACCTAACCGCCGCGGCGGTCATGTAGACAGTGCCTTTTTTCAACCCTATATCATACTTAATTTTGATAATTTGATCTCGTTTTCATATATATTAACTTTTTCTAGTGATGAAACCAGAGCCAATGGAGTTTAGTGTTTGTCTGCAATCCACGCCTTGGCTATGTCTAAGTGGAGTCGTTGTTTATTCACATAACTATGTAGCTGTACGTTTTGATGATGAGGATGATGAATAAACATCATTTCATTATTATTATTATTATATGTCAAAACGGTCATTTGAAGTGGAATATCAATTGCCTCGAGAATACAAACTATCAGCATTGATATGAATGGGAACATGGATAAATCGCCGGTCATAAATGTTATCATGAAGTTGTTAACTTTCACTCTTGAATTACCCAAATACTCAATTATTTATTCTGTCTATATCTCATACGATCGAATGCTCCGTTGTTATTTTTTGCTAAAATGTAATATGATTTTTCTCTAGCTGAGAAAGTGCAAAATACGAACACACTTCCGTTACTCAAATCAACATTTCTTGTCAAGAACTTGACCTATGAGATTGTGGCAATGTAGAAGACGACATTCAGAGTTTGAGCAGCAGTCAGAGCATCAGACGGGATTCAATAACCAATTTTATTCAAGTAAGCACCTACATCTGATAAATATATGAACTGACGAATCCACCTGCAGGATCAGCAAAATGGACCAAAATGAGGAGAGAACAATATTTTGGAGCAAGGTAGTAACTACTGGAGAAACCACGTTCTGAGAGTACCTACTCAACTCTTATATTAGGAGCTAATAATCAAAGTAGCAAACCTGTTTAACTGACCTCCCTACTGATCCTGCATTGACACAGTAATTACTATCCATTAGTTATCATTACTGTCATTTGTTACGAATTTGCGATATCATAAATATCATACCAAGAAAACAACATGAATTTTCCTATTATGGCTACACGGCATGAAAGTTTATGCATACGTATGGAGGGTAAATAATTACTCGACAGGTAATTACTCTTGAACTTCTTTATTTATCTTGCTATTAAGAACCGAAACTAGGGCGACTAGTACGATCAGTTTGGTATACACGGTTTGTCTCTATTTACATAATATTTTTTATCATTACATATCTCAACATGTAAATTGCTATTGATTATTATTGTTAATGAAAATTCCATCGGTTATTCACCTGCTAAAGTAGGGAATTTCAGTTGGAACATTGGCATTTGATGTAAAGAAAGAGCATGTCTATACTGGTAATTTCCCTGCCTCTTCAGTTATTCGCATCATTGTTTCTTCTTAAGGAATTGAGGAGAAGACTTGATATTAAACAAATCTGCTTTTCTGCCGTGTGAAACATATAATTTTCTCTCTAAATTCGTCCAATTTGACGTAAACTCCAAATAATCCATCATTTTATGTTCAACCAAAGTCAGTGTCAATTTTGATCACCAATTTGATTCGAATTATTTCTTGGAACGTTGTATAGCAACAAACTTTTTCTGCCTAGGCAGTAGAAGTACCGTTTTTCTGCCTGTTGAGTGTCATTAAAAAGCCACTTTTAATGTCATTTGGAGAAAATAGTTATTTGTTTTACTGGGCAGTCAATCTACATTTGCTGCCGTATGAAACATAAGTTTTTCTCCAATTGATATAAAACCAATTTTGTGTAATTCTTTTATTGAAAATTCCATCATTTTTTGTTCTCCCAATGTCACTGTCAATTTCGATTACTAATTTCATTAGAATTCCTTCGAACGTTGCATAGCGACAAACTTTTCCTGCCTAGGCAGTAAAAGTACACCTTTTCTGCCTGTCAAGCGGCAGGAAAAAGCCACTATCCCTGCCGCTTGGAGAAAAAACGTATTATGCCAATCTCGAATATTCAGACTACATTGCTATACATACAGATTGGAGTATCCAATACCTCTATGGGCCAATGGTTATTTTTTTTTGCAATCCAAAAAATAAAAAGGCCTTATAAAAACAACGCGAACTGTAACTTCGCCGTTTTCTTCGAATTTCGAGAAATCAAAGAGCAATATTAACTGATTTCTTCGGTTTCATGGTTCAACTCGAAAAATGTTGATGCTGGTTTCAAAACAGTGATATACAGAAAAATATTACTGATATATCAACTTATGACGAACTTGGATTAATTCATATTGGCACCTGTTTATATAGTATATCAATCCAGTGAATTTATTTTCATATGTTTGGAATCAGAACATGGCGGAGTGATATTTTTCAGTTCATATGCAGGAGTATTAAACAAAAAATTGTATATACGATAGATAATTATTAATTATTTGTATGCCATGAATGAATATATAAAGGTAACGAATTCCATATGGTTTCGTGAACAAAATCTATATGCGTGAATGGCTATTGATATGGATTCTATCAAATTCACAAAATCCTCAATTTTTATATGATTCGAAGGGACTAGGTAGGATCCACTGCATAATATAGCCTAAGAAATTCGGATGCTATACAACTGATTTGGCCTAGGTATCAGACAAACCCATTTGCAATATCGTTTTTACTTTCTCCCGCCAATCCTCAGAGGTTGATAGTTTGATATTCGTCAGATTTTATCAATGATTCCTTGGCAAGAAATTGTGAAAATATTCAATGGATTGTCATTTGTTATTCTGTTCGTCTCCTTGACCACTCTAATAAAATGAGGCATCAATTCGAACCTCTTTTTGAAGGCCAAAATCACAGATATATATACAATGCTCTCGATGAAGAGTATTCGGTCGCGCTCGGAGCTAGCACCAAGGGAGGGGCTAGCACATACGTAGTAGTGGGGGATTAGCTGGCCAGCTGTAATCGGCATGGCTTACTTCTTTCCTCCCATCAAATAACGATATCGCACGAGGTTAAGTCGTATATGTAGGGACTAATCGTGAAAGTACGGTATAGTAGGTATCTTAATCTAGAATATTCAGGCTGACACACAATGTAATTGTTCTTTAGTTTAATCAATGAGTGATAATTATTGCAATAGAATAATCGAATGTCAACTTGCAGGTTCACTTCTGTAAAGTAAAATCAAAATAATTGCTCGATGAATCATTGTTCACTTTTGCAAATTCACTTCTGTAAAGTGAGATCAGAATAATTGCTCGACAAATCATTGTTCACTCTCATTGAGAATGATCACGATGAGTGTTCCTAGTTTACTCTGTATTAACGATTTGGTTGTGTATTTTACAGGAAGCAGTAGGAAGCAGTATAGGTACCAAATGAACCAAACTTAGCATTCGTCTTATGCTTATGATAACTTTATATTTCTTTTAACATCTTCAGGTGTGACACACTGTATGTTCTATAAGCGAGACGAAGTGACCCACTAAAAAATCCCATTGTTTAGCTCAACTATGAGATATCGTGTGACTACATTCTTATATGCTTCAGGATGAGTTGATAGTGCGTCCCCCTTCAATAATTGCCGAACCACGAGATATATTCATAAAAATGTTCAATAAGTTGAAAATGCGTATAGGGCTTTTTTCATAAATATCGACAAATATGAGGTAGCCATTTGCTATCGATAGGTGGATTGGAAATGCATTTTCCATCTTGATTCCATATTCTTCTTGAGGAAATGCTTTTTCCTCAGAGCTCCGTACATTCTTCAGTCCACGATATTGCACAGCATGATAAACGATAGAAAACCCAAAGTTGATCGTGATGACATACACCGTGGTCAATCCAAAATGCAACTCTTTATTATACAACTTACAAGTATGTATTGTGTATATGTCAGAACTCATCAGGAGCTTGGCGGTGTATGATGTCATCAAGAGCTATCTTCTTTGACAGTTCAGGATTTTGATTCATAGTATATTACGTAATGGGAGTTGTAAAAAGCATATGATTGCTTTA